AGAATAAAATGTAAATACTGAAGTACATGTTCCTCAAAATGTTTTAATTTTAATGATAGTAGTTGCAAAGTATTCTGTTGCTACTCAGTATCATTCACTGTCAACTAATTCATAATTAATCTGGAAAATAAACTGGTTTAAGGATAAATAAGAGCTTGTTCATTAAGAAATATTCCCGAAGAAGGTTCTCCTCGGACCCCCCTACAGAGGTCCGGTGTGCTAAGCACCACATGTCCTCAAAGCCTACAAACGCCCCTGATCAGAATTCCTCCTATGAGTCTTACTAACAGTGAGCTCAATTCTACAGAGAATTAAATAATGAAAATAAACTACATCTTCATTTTTCTGGACACCCCCTGAAACTCCCTGAACAACCTCTGGTTGAGAACCACTGTTACAGGACATCTTTGACTGCGTCACCAGGGCCCAGTTGTTCAAAAGCAATCTGATCAGACTTCTGCTATCAGATTGGATCAAATCTTGAAACTGGGTTGTTCAAAAGGGAAAAAAAAGGTTACTGAAATCGGATTAGATCACGCAGTCCACTCTTGGTTTTGATATGGATCAAACCTTCATTCTTAATAGGACTGGGATACCTTTGATCCAAAAAAATAGGGATCATTCTGATCCCAGCAGAAAAGAACTACATTTATTCATATTTTGCACATGTTTTGTGATTTGTTGAACAGTTAGTGTGACGAATTTGGTAAGTTTTTATCTGGATCACGGTTATCCAATCACATGGATAGCAAAACATTGGATTTCCATATCTGGATCATTCTAATCCAAATGATATTTTCTTAACAACTGGGCCCTTTGCTTCTGTCATAATTACTTCAGCCACCAGAGGTCGCTACCTAACAGTAAACAGAGATGTGGTCTGCTTGCACAGACGACCTATTCGGCCTTTTTGTGGGGAGGACAGTTTGAATACGCACTAACACAGTTGTGTTCAATACCACAGATTATATGAACTGAACAGAGCAGCTCACCCGCCACCTTTGTACACAGAGATGTAGTTCTCCTCTTTTTTCCGTGGTGTGAAGTCAATGCAGGTCTTCAGTCTGTACTGGTCAAATGCCTTCAGGATCACTCCTTTTGCATTGATCTCTACATATTTCAAAGTGTAACACAAAGAAACAAAAAGCTTCCTCATTTGGTGCATATCCATGATAACATGATGAGTACAGTGAATGCAAGTTTCCATTGTAATGCGGTGTCTTACCCAGACTGTCCTCTAGGTAGTAGGGAATGGTTGTTGGCCAGCGATACTCGTCACCTATTCTGGAGTTTCTGAATGCCTGATTGGAATGAAGAGAACAACACATATATAAATTGAGATGAATAAAAACAGGGCGAACTCACTTTAGTGATCGAACTGTAACCTGGTGTTTTGGAATTGTTTGCGTTCCTTGATTATTACTGTGTCTTTCCAAACAATCACTTAAAAATGAGACCTGAGACTGATAAAGTTGTGTTCTCTCTCTCTCTCTCATCTCTACACCAGCATCATTTTAATTATTCAATGATTTATCATCGCATTAATGCTGTTCAAATCACCCAGCTTTATTTCCTGCATATACTGCTCAAATATGGAAGTTAGTGTCTTAATTCCGAGTGCACAATGGGGCATTTTGAGGACAGAAAAACATATTTTTGTGGATAAATTATTATCCCAAGGGACGGGACGATATATGATTTTACTGTGGATCACAATACACGATTGTGGTGAATTTCCATTTTCAGGATAATTGCATCCAGCAGCACACAGTTTTTGTCAATGAAATTAATACTTTACAACATACTATAATATTAGAGAAACGTGCACTAAAAGTCTTCACTAAGCAGGCAACTGATTCCCTTATTTAGCAGCATTACCATAAAAACAGTTAGGCAAAAAGACTACAAACAAAATGGAACAATAAGACCAGACCAAGCTGTTACAATAAACTAGCAGATTACCTTGTAGTCCTGAGATATGTCTTGGATATAGCTGAGAGAATCTTCATGTCAGTGTTTGTTTGGGTAGAAGTCTGCTAAGCTTTTGCATAAGATCTGTAATTTATGTCTTGTACCATTAGCCATTCACTCTGCCTGTCTGCCAGCTGATCACAGTGAACCAACAGCACAGCAACACACAGTCTCTGCTTCTTGTTTTAAACATGCCTCTCTTCCTGCCTGCAGTTCTTTCTTACTACAGTGGTATGCAACCTCCACCTCTCCATCACAGCCTAGTGTTCTCAGATTCATCAGCATCTGGACTCCGTACTGGATAGTCTTCTGTCAAATCTTGAGCAGCACATAATCTGGTAATCTCTACACCTGTAATCTTATCACACAGTTATTATTACTTCATTCATCTGTCTCTCCTGATTAAATATAATGCCATACTCAAATAGGCCTGAATATGGAGATTACTGAAGAGTAGCAGGAGCCTTTGGAGTCTTTGGTGTCTGTGTAGACCAGCTTACATCGTCCTGTTCGATATCTCCCTCCAGCAGGTCCAGCCCCGCCGCTGCAACAGGAAAATTTCATCATTTGATGAAAATCCTCAGCAATATGCACAGATTATACAACAAAGCAAAAACCATAATGTGTCCACAAACCTTCATTGATGTCAAAGATGTCCCAGTCACGACCTTCATCAACATCCCTTTCTGTAGATGTGGAATCAATTAGATGCTGCTCAAAACAGGACTACAAAAGTACCTTATTTACATAATTACCAATGTATTGGAGCAGTTAGGGTTGCTTCCTGTCCCACAGACCTGAGATATGTTTACTTTAAAATGTCAATTCTTCAATTTAAAATTGTGCCTGACCTTAAGATTTGAAATTAATTTCTAAATCATTCTGAGTGAGAGCCTTCTCAGCAAAGATGCACAGAGTTTTTTTAGCCTGCCAAAAAATCACAAGTGTAAAGGGTACAGGGTATTTGAAATCTTCTCACTCTGAATCCAACCTCAGCCTGAGTCAAGTTTTTGTCCCCCTTTTGACAGTAATTAACATGAAAAACATTTAAAATATGTGACTTACCTGTATCACCCGTTAGCTTAGCTGCTGCCTGGTAAATACAAGAAAAATTACATCATCATCATCATCGTAATAATCAATGTCACTGTTTTTGCAGTGGACATATAATATGAATGTTATGTTGTATAAAGATACAAAGGTGTACTGGTACCAGTCCCAGGCCATAGAACAGAATGATCCAGCTGACTGCCATGGCTCCAGCTACATGATAAGGACGTTTACAGACAGTGTCACAAGTTGTACAGACAAGCACACATGTTCGCTCATTAACTGAATATGTGCTCAGTGTCTGTGAAGCTTTTTTGTACCCCACTATTTACTGTCCACCTGTGGCATCTCTGTAGAGTGCTGCAGGAATGAGTCTTAAATCCCAGAAATGAGTAGCATTTTAGCACTCCTGGTTCTCTCATCACAAA